CATCCCCCCCATCCCGTCCCTCCCGGCCCGCCGGTTCCAGCTTTGATTCCTCCTCCGCCAAGCGCCCTCCTGAGCAAGGCCTCCCACTCTCCTGTCCCTTGTGTACCCACCTTCCCCTCTCTCCCCTTCGTGTCCACAGCAGCAGGGCCCAAGCGTCTCATCCCCTGGCGCCTCACCTAGCACCTGGCTCCACGGTAGGCGCTCAGGCACCGTTGGCCGTGTGAATGGAGAAACCAAGGACCTTTGAATAAATTGAACCTAAAAAGATTCTTAGTTGTCATTTCTCTTATTGTGACTTTAGGTTCACGGTTGTAAGAAACTCTTGACCTTTTTATTGTTGTTACATAAGTGATACAATTACAGCTTTGTAGAATGTCAGTTTTTTTAAGTTTTAGAATTATGCTACTTCTTTCAGAATCGTGTGTCTGTCGTTGAGGGGCTACTTCTTGATGCGTGCCAGCCTTGGCCTGCGACTTCACATTCACACGAGACACTGAGGATTTTGGACTCCGTCACCACTGCCCAGCCATGACCGTCTTTCCATTCCTTCCCCAGGCTCTAGAATGGATCCATGACAACGGGGAGTTCTACCTGTCCACTCACACGTCCACGGGTTCAAGCATTCAGCACACCCAGGAGCTGCTGAAGGAGCACGAGGAGTTTCAGATAACCGCTAAGGTCCGTCAGGTCCGCGTGCATGCCCGTGTGGTGGCCTGCGCGTCTGCTTGGGGTTTACGGCATAGCCTAGGCCAGGATGCCCTGGGTAGATAAGGTAGTTCTCAAATACATCACTTAAGAAATACCTTCCGAAGCGAGAAACAGTGACCCAGGTGATGCTTCTTACTGCCTTTCACGCTTGCCCTTCAGTTTTCCCTTCATCTGTCCTCTGGTTTCTGCAGACACTTCCCATCTCCTTCCTTTTGATCTCTCTTGTCCTTTTTGTTACTGTCTCTTTCTCTCTCCTGATTTCTTTTCTAAGGCATGTTCTGCGTGCTTGCCGTTTTATGAAGCACTCTCTGGTGTTGCCAGCTCGACTTGGCTGTGTCCTGTGGGTGTTTCCCTGGAGTCAGTGACAGTTGTTACAGTAGCACTGTCTCCGCTCAGCCAGCCCTGAAGCTGGGTGTTTGTTAGTGCCCTTAGTGGGTTTATAAACTGGAGGCGCTTCCAGTTTTCTCCCGAAAATCAAAATGTAATTAAATACACCTTTATGGCCTATGCAGTATATGTAAGTAAATATTAATTTTTAAACAAATATTTAAGAGTCTGCCATTGACCTGCAGAGGCCGACTCCTTTACCTCAAAACAGCCTGAGACTCTCATAGTTTCCTTCTCAACTGGTAGTATTTTCCTCTTTGTTTTTCAGAGGTTTTGAGTATACATTTATTATAATACCTTCAGAAGTACCTCTGTTTTTGATGATAGATTTTGAGTTTTTAGAAAAAGCTATAGATTTAAGAGTAGAAAATAGATTATCAAGCTAAGTAATATTTTTGGTTAAAAAGAAGTATCCCTATGAAGTAAAAACATTGGGGGGGGGGGTGTCCCTTAACTTGGCTTTGAAAACATCAAGGAGGTATTTTTAAATCATTTGGGGTGAAGGTAGCTACTTTGTATTATGTTTATTTGTACTTTTTTATGTTTTCTGTAACAGTTTCTGACTCCTCCTATTCTTCCCAGCCCTCTGCTCCCAGCCCCCCAGCCCTAGCGCTAAGTTACTTCCTTTCACTCAGTGTCAGGGTGCTGGGTGCTGGGAACCCCTGGTCTCTGCTCTGCAGAAACATGTAGTCTAGTGGAGCTACAGGCAGACTGACCGCTGCAGGGCTGCTGAAGAAACCTGGCACTGTGAGCATTGGGGGGGACGGGCTCAGGCGCGCAGGCGAGGCCAGCCCCCCAGCAGAGCGGGCGGGAGCGCCCAGAGGAGGAGAGCTGCCTGGCCTGCCTCTGCAGGTAAGGATCAGCCTTCCCCTTCCTCAGATGCAGCACACCTTCAGCTGGGTAATGCTCACTTTTGTTAGTAGTTGGGTAAAAAATTATAGTTATTACATGCATGATACGATCTCTGTTTGTTTCTCTGAATATCCTTTGATAAAGCCATGAAGAGGTAGATGTAAGACTTGCTCCTTTCCACTGACTGCACATTCCGGTAAGGCTCCCCTCTGCCGGCTGCTGTGCGTGGCCAGCAGCCCGGTCACTGCACAACTCCAGGGGGCGCCGTGCACACAGAGCAGGGCGTGAATGTCCCTGTCTGGAGTTGAGCATGGCAGCTTTGGTCCACCAATGGATTGTGTATGAAGGAATTTTTCCATTATTCCTAAATTTCCTTTTCCTCAAACTTGGAATATGAGCAGTAGCGGGCTTTTTTTTCCCCCTTGTATTTTATTTTTTAAAAGCATCTAAAATCATAGATGACACCTGACCTTTCTGATTCACAAATATACAGAGCTGTTTTCTTCACTGGGTATATCGATAGAGGATCTGGTAGGTTTTGAGAAGACGCCTCTTACTTTTTTCCCTCTGGTTTCTGGCTGCCTTTCTCTCAGTCAGGAAGTGCCTGCCTGGCTGCTTGGAGGTGTCATTTAGTTTCTCCTGTTGAAACCAGGCTGCGTTCTTGTTTGCCTTCTGTTGCCCTATCATACCTTCTTCTGAGAAATCACTTTTCTTCTGTTACATAGAGAATCCTTCGCTCTCACAGGACAGCCCTCCGGCCGAGTTGGTACAGTAATTAGCACTGTAACACTGAGGGTGTTCCTGGACGTAAAACCTCTCCTCACTAAGACTCAGTGCGATTCATTTGCAACTCAGTGCATTTAAAACAGGTCCCTGACTCAGGACCAGCCTGTGGGTGTCACGTGCCAGCAACGGGCCTGCTTTGTGATGTATGTTAGACGTGTACATAAATCTTCCTGGAGTTTCTCTGTGTTTTCTTTTCTATTTTAATGTAGGTAGTAAGCTGCATTGTCTTTATCTCCACTTCTCTGTCCCCAGCACTTAAATCACAAAGTCGCTTTCTTAACCCCTAGAGAGTTTGTGCTTAAATGGTGAGACAGCATCACTTTCTGTGCTTTTCAGCAGGTTAACGTCTTGGCACACGGCAGTGAAACCTGGTCTAGGGAACCTAGTTTTTAAAAATCCTGCATTAGCTATGTTAATTCTCTTGGATATTAAAATTCAGTAGTGTTTCCAGGTTAATTCCTTTTGGAACTTATGCTTCCAGATCTGAAACTGGGACTTCTTCCCTTGGTTTGTAATTGGGCTTATCTTAGCATCTTCAGAAAGGTCCCCTGCTGATGACAAGCCAGGTTTGTTTAACAGATCTTCCTTTCAGTTCACTCTACTAGAGTTCATTTTCACACCAAACAAAAGCCCTAGAAACTTGCTGACTTTTTCCAATAAACACCTTTTATAGAATCCACCATATTGATTTTTTTCACAGAGATAATGTTCCTTGAGTTTTGTTTTCATCTGTTTTTTGAAGCATATGTATTTATGCTGGTAAGAGTAACTGCCATGAGTGTCAACAATAATAAATAATTAATTAATTAAATAACTGCCACGCCCATTAAAGTTACAGGCATATACACACTTACATAAAGAACCTAATACAAATTTTTTTTTTTTCTAGTAAGTATTTGGTGAATGTCGACTGTGTGCCAGATGCGTGGATGGTGCAGGAGATATACCTGCAAAACAAATAACTTCACTTAATCAAAGATCTTTCCTATGTACATATAAAACGAAGTAATTTTTTTTAAAGCGAGAGTTCTGAAACAGAACCAAATGTAAAATACCTCTAGAGATCATTCCCTGACCAGTGACTTTTCCTCCACATCTCCCTCGAGTGAAGAGCCGTGGACACGCGATGCACGGAGCTTCAGCAGGCGTCTCAGGGAGGGTCAGCTGCCGGAGCTCCATCCAGACGGCTCCTGCCCTGGGAGGGCTTTTGGTCTAAGGAGGTGCAGAGTGAGCTGCGTAAAGCAGGGAGGGTCTTTGTAGCTAACACGTGTACGTTCAGAGGGGAATAGTCATAGATTCTAGGGAGGACTTCGAGTGAACATGCATTTATAGATTTCTCCGGAGCATCCACCAGATGAAGACGTTGAAAGAAAGTCTAGATTTTTTTATCCGAGGTCTTAAAAGTGCCATTCATTGTGGGAGAGCTGAGGAAAGATAGCTTAGCCAGTCTAGGGTCAAGGAGATGAACTGGATGGATGGGGCGTCAGTCTGAGTTCCTATCATGAGTTTTTTCCTGTTCAGAGCTGAGTTGTAGGCGCGTTGCCACTGTTTCTGGTTTCAGGCAGTTGGGTGTATTTGCTTCACAGTCCTTTCCTGTGGTGCTTTTTTTTGCAGCAAACCAAAGAGAGGGTGAAGCTATTGATACAGCTGGCCGATGGCTTTTGTGAAAAGGGGCATGCCCACGCGGCAGAGATAAAGAAATGTGTCACTGCCGTGGATAAGAGGTACAGAGATTTCTCTCTGCGGATGGAGAAGTACAGGACCTCTTTGGAGAAAGCCCTGGGGATTTCCTCAGATTCCAACAAATCGGTAAATGGCTTTGTGCAAACCGAACCAATCACGGTGCTCTTGTGTCCTGTTTGTGACTCAGCTCACCCGAGTTCACTGGCTGTCTCATTCCACAGAGTAAAAGTCTTCAGCTAGATATCATTCCATCCAGCATCCCTGGGTCGGAGGTGAAGCTGCGGGACGCTGCTCACGAGCTGAACGAGGAGAAGCGGAAGTCCGCCCGCAGGAAAGAGTAAGCCGGCCTTTAAGGAGCCGCCAGGTTCATGGAAAGCGTGAACAGAGTGTCACTCGGACAGACAGGCTGCTGGGTGTGCTCTGAGACCGAATGGCATTAAGACTTGTTGTCTGGGATGTGCTTAGTTTTTGCAGCTCACACTCCACTGTGTGCACTGTCCGCTTATCACCTGCCTCAGAAACGGTATCTTGTTTTTATCTCTGCACTCCCATTTCACATGGGGCCGACAAACCAATTCATGTCGCCTGTCATCAATAGGTCCTGAGTAGTAATACTAAGGAGAAGAAATGACGGCACAAGAGGAGGTGTTTAAACATTGCCAACGAGTGAACTATGCTAGATATTAATAAGACAAAAGATTGCTCTGAACCAGTGATTCTCAGTCAGGGGCAGTTTGTCCCCTGGGGGATGTTGGCAATGTGTGGAGACATTTTTGGTTGTCACACAGTAGGGAGGGGGGTTGCTCCTGGCATCTGGTGGGTGGAGACCAGGGAGGCTGCTAACCATCCTGCAAGGCCCAGGGCAGCCCCCAGCAAAGCATTTTTCAGCCCTGAGTGTCAGTAGTGCTGAGTTGAGAAACCCCGACCTGTAGGTACCTCAACAGAATTTCTTCCAAATTGGTGGCTGGATACTATCATTCTATCTATTCACAATTTAATTCTGCAAAACACATCACTGACAAATGATTTTTAAACCGCTTTATTATTTCATAAACCATAAAAGTAGGTAGTGCATCCTGACTGTGAACTAAACTATCTGCTGTCTTCCTCTGTTGAGGTTCATCATGGCCGAGCTAATTCAGACTGAAAAGGCTTACGTGAGAGATCTCCGAGAGTGTATGGATGTAAGTAAGTTTTTTTGCTTGTTTATGTAGATTGAGTGTACCCTTGTATTTATTCTTACTGATGAGGAATTCTTAAAATAATCACACATTTTAGTTGTGTTTGAGATCTGCAGTGTGCTGAAGCAGCCAGTTTGAGGTTTCCGCACTTCTGTGAAGTTCTGGGCTTGCTTTCTGCATGTTGCGGCGATGGTGCAGCATTAGTCCTCTCGTTCCATCTGTCACATGACGGCCTGGCTGACATTCTCTGTGTATAGAATTTCACAGCAGCTTCAGAGAAATGTGCCTACTAATTAGGATTGGCAACTAATTGGCAACTAATCCTGAGCAGTACTATGACTATTTGTTGCACCTTGTGGAGTAGGTTAATCCAAAATTCAAAGCTGAAAATAAGTTTAGAGCTGGAAAGTGTAGCAACTGTTCTCAAGTATTATAGCAACTGAGGAATTTTGTGGGGGTTTTTGTTTGTTTTGTTTTTGTTGTTTGTAGGTGTGTGTTTTCGTTTGTTTTTTCAGTTTTTCATGCTTTTCTAAAAGATTCCATTCTTAAGACTTATTTTCAGGTATACGTTGACTTGGCCCACTCCTACAGATGTCAGAAATACCTGTTTCTTGAAAAGTTGGTATTGGGTTTTTGTCTGATCCCTCTGTTTCCCTCCCGGCCAGACCTACCTGTGGGAAATGACCAGCGGGGTGGAGGAGATCCCGCCGGGCATCATGAACAAAGAGCTCATCATCTTTGGGAACATGCAGGAGATCTACGAGTTCCATAACAAGTGAGTGGCGGCGTCTCCCGGGAGCCATAGCTGGTTACTCTCGAAGGCCAGGTACTGCGCTGACGTTTCATAACAAGAAACCAGGGTTTCCGAAGGAAGGAAGTGCAGATTTCAGTGACTTAGTCGAAATTCAATTGAAGCCTGTCAGGCTTTCTTCAAAAAGACTGACATTCTAAAGGCTATTTTAATACAGGCTCAACTTTATATTTGTGTTCACTTTCGGTAGAAATAAGATTAAGAAAACTGTGAAAATGGTTTTTGTGAGGACCCCAGCTCCTCTCGAGCTGTGTCATCATCTGCTACTTAAGTTACTTCTTAGAGTTAAAAGAAAGAAGAGGTTCCCATCGGTGCAGGCCGGTGCTCGGTCTCTTCGGATAAGAAGGAAGTGGGAACCGAGTATGGAACAGATGTGTAGTCTGTCCAAAACGAAATGCGCTGTCCATTGGTCAGAGGAGGTACAGTTTTATTTCTAAGAAATTTTTAAAAAGCAGCAGAAGCTCTTTTAGGTAGAGTCTGTGCAGTCCAGTAACCTCTGGCAAGACGACGCGAGGCCAGAGCTCGTGGGGCCTTCCTCGCTCCTCGGCCCCTGCCCCGGCAAAGGGCCCTGAAATCTAGATTCTTCTGGGGGAGTATTTCCATCCCTGCATTATGCCCCTAGCTACTGAGTGGCACTTTCCCAGAAGTGGGCCACTGGGTTAAAATTCCTGTTAGAAAGTTTAAATGCTAAACCAGTGAGCTGAAAGTCACAGTAACTGACCCTAGTTAAGAGCTACACACTTTGTTAAATCCCAGAATCTCGAGGGCACAGATTTTTCACTACACTTGATTATAATCATGAAATTCAGGAATTTCCTGAGGTCACGATATGCTTGGTCTAATTTCTGGCATATTTCACTAATAAAATATTTTAAAACATAATAATACTATAACATTTGTATTCTCTGCAGCATATTCCTGAAGGAGCTGGAAAAATACGAGCAGTTACCAGAGGATGTTGGGCATTGCTTTGTCACTTGGGTAATGAAACCTCGGCTTCTTGTTGTCTCACTGTTATTTGGTGGCTTTGAAGGGAGTTAGGAGGAACATTGTTCATTTCTTTTCTGTCACCATCTTTTGCTGGTATCTGCCTACAGAGAAATGGACTTTGTCTCGAAGAATCACATTCCCCAGCTAGTTATTGATGCAGAGTGAGCTTGTTATTGGCAGTAGCGGTGGTTTGAAAGAGACTAGTGTGCCAGACCTCTGCATGGCCCAGGGGATTCACAGCGGGACCTGAGCCCCAGCCCTGCCAGGGTGGGGTGGGGGCATCTCCCAGTCCAGAGGGGAGGCAGACATGTGACCTGGGATGGCGCCATCTAAGCTCACTGCCCGGATTTCCCCACACCACTATGAGGGAAGAGAGAGGACCTGCCTGACCCCATCTTGCTGAGTCAGGGGAGGCCTCTGGAGGTGTGTGGTGTCAGCAGGATGTGTTTCTTATTTTAATAGATTTCTTTATAAAATACGGTTTCTTTAATTTGGGGCTTAAATATCCTTTATCCACATAGCTTCTTTTCTACATAAAAGTTAATCATATTTTGATGTACTGCCATTTGAAAGTGATACTCTAAATTTTTTTTGTTTATAGGCAGACAAGTTTCAGATGTATGTTACTTACTGCAAAAATAAGCCTGATTCTACGCAGCTGATACTAGAGCACGCAGGATCCTATTTTGATGTAAGTCATAGGTTACCAAGGAAGCATTGAAATTTCCTAAGATGTATTTGGTATACATAAAATGCAGTATTATTCATAACTTTCACCTAATTGATGGGACAGTATTTTCATTTTTATCTATCACATATTTGGTGGGATATACTTATATATTTTCTTCTGTTTTTAAAAGCTCCTTCTCAAGCTACATATCTGTAAGAAATTCAGGTTTTAAATGTGTGTGTGTCATTTCTATTTTTATATAATCATAAATTTTTACATGTAATATTATGCATAGAAGATGTAAACTATTAAATAATCTTCTTTTCCCCTCTTAAAAAAAAAGTAACTTTGAATCTTTTTTAATCATTTCTTTTCCTATTCTAATTTCACGTTATTATTTTCCAAAAGTGGCCTACCTGTGAAACTTTACAAATAGCACTGTAACCACTAGGCCACTGGGAGGTTTACTCATTGACTTCTCATTGGTGTAAACATAGATGTAGCTAATCTTTTTTTTTTTCTTTTTTTTAAAGATATTGCAGGGTGGTTATTTAGTACAAAGAGGAATGGAGCCTCATGGTATAACATGCTGAATGTTTTTTTGGGTTGCAGAATGTAGTCATATGTGAGCCATGTAAATTCTGGTTAAAAGATGGGGTAGTTTTGAATGTTATGTGTAGTTGGCTCACTAGGCCACAGGATGTTAGACATAAGTGTGCTTGTGCATGGCCAAGTGTGAGGATCTGCTCTTCTCCAAAATCTAGGGGATTAGAATACATTTCAGCTTCTCTCTTTGAGATGAAACCCTATTTAGATGACCTGTCTCCGTTGTCATTCTCATGACCAGCAATTACACATCACTGCCTTTGTAGATATAAAGTCTGCTCCAGCCCAGCGCTGCCTTTTTCAGTATTTCACATGACCCTAGGTCTTTGCCATTAGGAGAAACCCCACACCGTGTGGCTACATGCAGAGTTAGACTTATTTAAGGCCTAAGCGTTGAGAGCATGTGGCACATTAATGTTTGGAATCACAGCCATTAAAAAAACAACAACAACCCTTTGCCCTAAAACTCTTCAAGAATACAGGAAATCATGTTGTCTAACATAGTGATTTCACAGATGTTTGTCTAAGTTAGAGATTTCACAGATTGCTTACCTGTAGTTTTCCTTGTACAGCCTTACTGTGCATCTGTCAAGGGCTCGTTTAGCTCCTGGTGGGGCAGAGGTGCTGAGCAGAGAGCAGTGAGTACACAGGGCGCCCGCCTTCACAGAGAGGGAGGTAAACAGTGAGGACTTGATTGTGTGTAAATGACTTAAATGCAAAGGGGAAATCAATCGTGGAGTAGATATGCCACTGACCAGGGAGCTGGATTTCCCTTTTTCCCCCAACTCTGGTCCCTCCCATCCAAAGTAAAATTTTATAAGCAAAGAAATTTTAGAAAAGGGAAACATTTATTTCAGCAGGATTAAGTCTTTGTCAGTTATTTTGAAAGACTGCTGTGATCTCGTAACCGATTTTGAATCGCCTGCTACTGTGATAAGGTCATAGGGATGTCAGCAAGAATTGGAGATGCATTTCTGAGGTGCTGTTAGAACAGGTGTGTTACAAGGCACTGCTGTGTATGTACAATGTGGTGTATTCAGGAGATGGAATACTGCCCAGGAGTGGAAAGGGATCAGCCCTGATACGTGAACAACATGGATTAAACTCCAGAGCATGGGCGGAAAACAGCTAGATATAAACGATACATTCTGCATGGTTCCTTTGCTGTGGACTTCCAGAAGATGCAAACTTAATCTGTGGTGATAGAAATCGGAACAAGGGCTGCGTCCTGGTGGTGGCGGGGGAGTGGGGGGGGCTGATTGGAAGGGGGCTCAAGAACTCTCTGTGATGGCGGAAGTGTCCTGTATCTTGGTTTGGGAGCTGCTCACAAGTGGGTGAGAACTCACTGACCTGTCCTTAAGATTTTGAATTATACTGTATGAGAAAAGGAATCCTTATAAGTGCTATTCGATGATGAACGTGTGTGTCATCATTACATCACAGATCCCACATTTTTAAACCATTGCACATTGAAAAGAAACTTTGAAAACTATACTTATGATCTGGAAGCCAGAGGAAGAGTCGTCAGTTTTTAATTTAATGTGCTTGATGCCTGGGGAACAAGTCACTTGGTGATTCGTGCAGCTGGCATTTCCCGGGAATCAGCCTCTGGTGCTTTTCCTGGGGAGCCTGATCTAATGACAAACAGATGGAGAACACAGCGATGGGGTAGTTTCTGAATCCATTTTGCAGCATAGGCTCTCGGATGATAAGTATTTTTTTAAAAACTTCTGAGAAGAATCCTAAGAACTGAGAAAATGCAGATACAGTAGCTTGGTGTGGAAATTCTGGGCTAGATGGTAGCTGAGGAATGAGGGTGCCCGGGAGAGAAGAGCCCCTTGGTAGTGGGTCGATCTGTTCCCGGGGAAGGGGGCCTCTGGTAGGGAGTTGGGCTGTGGGGGATGTGGTCTGTGACCCGGCACACGTGGCCAAAGCTTCAGGAGCTACATGGGACAGAGGGTGAGGCAGTGCCGCCCCTGGGGACAGTGCAGGGGGTTGTTGACTTCTCCTGTTCAATCTCTGCACCCGAGAGCCAGCAGGACAGAGTCAGAGCTGCTGTCTTCTGGGTTCAGAGTGATACCTTGACTGAGATTTGTCATGTTTAGGATGACCATTATCAAAAGAATAATCTGTGATTTCTGCTTTATATTTACAGGAAAAGAATATGTGTATATTTGTTGTGGGAGTCAAGAGATGTAAGTTTTCAGTCGGTGCTTTTACTTATATATGTAATTTCTGTTGAATTCAGGAGATACAGCAGCGCCACGGGTTAGCCAATTCCATCTCCTCCTACCTTATTAAACCAGTTCAGCGGATAACCAAGTACCAGCTCCTCTTAAAGGTACGTATGAAGCATCTTCAGCCTGTAGATTTTATGACTGGTACATTGCTATCTTCACATTTTTCTCTTTGTGAAGTACCCTGAGTTTTTAAAATAACATCCAGCATATTGTTTTTATTTTTTAATTCATTGCCATTTATTTCCCTGACCAATTTCTCAGTGTAGCAGGTAAATAAGAGTATATTCCTCAATTGTGCACCTAAACACCACTGACCAACCCTTGTCTGGAACACAGAATGAGAAAAGAGAGAGAAATGGTCAGTCCTGGATCCTCTGTGCCATTGTCCCTAGTATGGCTTGCTAACTTGGTACCCGGCACTGTGCTGTACTCTTGGCCTATATTAAGCTGACCTCACACAGTGTTAGTGTGCAGGGGTGGGACCTGCCTCTGAGGGTGAGGGATGTGCCCAGTGTCGTCACTGGACCCCTCCTGCTTCGGCTCAGCTCTGCACTCAGGTCAGGCCGATGCCCAGGCTTCCCAATGAATCCAGGAAGAACTTGCCCCTGGCAGCTTCCTCCCCTTTATCTCGAATCTAGTCATTTGTCCCACACAAATTTATGCACATTGTTCGTACAAGGCACAAGTATTTGAGTCACGCCGACGTCTGCTTTTTCTTGGTTACAAGTGATTATAATTAAAGTCACACTTGTAAAAATCTAATAACTATTAGTCTTGACATTAGGATGGTAAAGAAAAAGAACTTGTGGTAAGAATGTCAAAGAATTCATTATATACATAATCAATACATATTTTCTTTACTATAAGAAAAATAACAGCCTCCATCTGATGATGTTTACCCTACTATTTCCTTGGCTGGTGGATGTTATTAATTTAGCATCAGAATGTATCAACTATCCATCCATCCCTGTAAGAGTATTTTATGAATCCAACTGTCCCTGGTTCAATCCTGGCACAACAATAGGAGGTGAGACTGAAATCCAGAAGATCAGGTTATGAATACCTGAAACACTTCTTTACTCTTTTTATTGTAAAAAAAAAGAAAAATTCCAGGAACAGTTAAGAAGTGGCTCCATTCTCTTGTGAAAGGGACACCATTCTGGAACTTTCCTATGGGAATAGCCCTCCTGCACTCCTGTGTCAGAATCTCACTGCAGGACTGTCTGGCCACCCCTGCAGAAGAAGCATGTGGGTGCTGTAAACAGGAAATAGGAGCCAGCAGCTACGTTACCTATATTAGCATTTGCTCTTTGCTTCCTAATTCCACAAAGGCAGGTTATCTCTTGACGTCCTCAGTATCTAAGGATTTTGTTTTAGCATGTGGTTCCACTACAGATCTCTTCCTCGGTGACCTCACATCTAGTCCCTCACTGCTAGGCTGCTACTTTACTTCATAACCCTCCTGGACTTTGCCCAGGGGTATTCTATAGAACAGGAATAAGCCGTGTGGATCCCCAACGAGGAAAGTTTCTGCAGTGTAGTGTCCCTGTGCATTGCATTTCTAAAGCACTTTTTGCCTTGCCATTCAAAATAATAGATAAACAACATGTGGCTGTGAGTAAAGGTGCCTGTCAGGTAGCTGAGTCACTCTAAACCATCCAATGTAAGACCACAGCTGACTGCACTGCCGTGGCTGTCTGTCGAAAACTGCAACACAAAACACTGTTGACATGGTGCTGACTGATGAATAGTCATTAGCACACGGATGAGGTATCTTGGAGCCCAGAGAAATAAGAACCTGCTGTCCTTGCTATCATTCATTTAATAACGGTGTTCCCCGAGATCTGAGATGGAATCACACCTGAGGAGTGTAATTCGACCATTGGAGCTTTTTCTAAACACCCTACACACACAGGAAATGCGTTTCACTGTAGATTCCTGCAGCATCACTGTTCCTGCCACATGGTGTGGCAGTTCCAGGTTCGATGGCCCTGTGTTAATGGCACCGGAGGTTCTGAGTCACCCTGGGGCCTGTAGGAAGCACAACAGCACTTGCTGGGCTCTGGCATGACCTTCAGCTACAATAGTAGCTCACTCTGCTCCACTAATTAAATATTTTTGTCATTTTTGAGACTTGGTAGTTAACGTGTACACCAATTTTATCTTGAATTATGACACCCTCCCCCCTCCCCCGCCGTTTACTCTGATGTGAAGAAATGTCCTGATTTGACCAGGACAGACCCTTCTGTCCACTGGACACAGAGGCAATAATTAGTTTTCTGTGAGAATATGTGCCCAGTGGACAACAGTCTGCTTTTTATCTTGAAAATCGAAACTCATTTCTGCAGAGATCTTGGTGGCAGAGAATTTTGCAGTCTTTGGCTAATTCACAGTCTTGGTCTTCCACAGGAGCTCCTCACGTGCTGTGAGGAAGGCAAAGGGGAGATTAAAGATGGCCTGGAGGTAATGCTCAGTGTGCCCAAGCGGGCCAACGATGCCATGCACCTCAGCATGCTGGAAGGTACTGAAGCCCCCCCCACCGTGCATGTGCCTGCTTTCCTCTGACGTTCATAAATGGATCTCCCATGCCCTGAAAATCTTGGCTTCACGCCTTTGTGTTTACTTAGGAGTTAAGAGTGTAGATGTGAATGTCTTTTTAAAGAATTGGTTTTCCTGCTTTCCTTAAAGATCACATGAAATGCTTCCACCTAAACACCTGTCCTTGTCCCGTTACTGGGGAACTGCCTCTCCACACCCTCAACCCCAGGAGCACTTCCCGGCACTTCCCTTCGCCTGCCTTGTCTCTGTGTTAGGCGGCTGGGTGGAAGGAAGGATAGATCAGTCCAGGATTATAAAATCCTTAAAAGAGCTTCTTGCTTCTCCATCTCTGTGTCCGTTGCATCACTTGCTGGAGCCTTGAACCTAGCAGATCCCACATACCTGCTTATGCAGTTGAATGTGGTGTGTAACATGGTAGAGGTTCAGATAAATACACTTCAACATTTTTGTTGCAGTTATAATTTCCGTGAATGCTCCTGTTTAAGAAAGTGATTTCTGTGTTGCAGAGCTTAACTCTTACTCTCAGGATACACAGACATATTTACAAGCTGTGCCAACCTGTGTCATTGTCACTGGTAGCACTGAGCAGTACACTAGTTAGGGCAGAGGTGCTGTTCTTTGTGGCAGAGACCAAAAATCAGAGGTCAAGTGACACGGCTTCCTCTTTCTCTGATGTAAAATCCTGAGCTGGCGTGGCAGCCCTTCGTTACATCAGGGACTCAGGCTCTGTTCCGGCTCCTTTCTCTCCACTCCTTGGATGTTGCCTGGCTGGCTTGGTTCAGGCTGTGTTGAGACCATGTTAGCCTTCCATCTGGCAGGAAATGGGAGAGAGGGAGGGCGGGAAACAGCTGGAGGTGCTACCCCTGACTCTCCCCACAGGGCCTGAGCCTAGGTGTGTGGCTGCCCCGAATTGCAGAGGGCACTGGGAAAATGTCGTGCTCATTTGAGCGGCCATGAAGGGGGCTTCTATTAAGGAAGAGGGGGTGCAGTGGAAGTTGGGAGGTAATTAGCAGCCCCTGCCTGCCCCAGGAATCACACAGCAGGTCACTTCCAGGAGGAAATGAGCATTAGCGAAAGCCAGTCAGTGGCCAGAGCATGACTGATGCACATGAAGAATGTTGCTCTCGGAGGAAGGAGAACCCCACCAAAGATGGGTAGGCAGGCCAGGGCCTTGCAGAAAGGCCGGGAAGGGTGTTCCAGGCTGAGGAAGCAGGGGACCAAGACACAGGCTGGAACAGGTGGGGGTCCGGGGGGCCAGGGAGCCACTGTGAGTGGAGGAGGAGGTCTGTGTGGGGAGCGCTGTGAGCGCGGGGTGACGGGACGCAGGGAGTTACACCAGTCTCACCGTGAGGGTGCCACCTGAAGGGGAGAGAAGTTACTGAATAAAGCCAAGGGGAGTCCCTGCTTTTTTTTTTTTTTTTTAAAACAATGGAAAATATATGTGAAGTCTCGTATTGGGAAGATTTATCCTTTGTCAGATGGGCCAGTGCTGGGGAGACGAGTCAGGGGCCCAAATGGAAAATGCAAATCTGAGATTTAACTGTCGGGCATTTTGCAAAGGTGTAAGTAATTACAGTGCTGTCCTTTTACTTTAGAGTGATTGCGCCTCCTTTTTACGTTGTAGGGTTTGATGAAAATATTGAGTCTCAGGGAGAACTCATCCTGCAGGAATCCTTCCAAGTGTGGGACCCAAAAACCTTAATTCGAAAGGGTCGAGAACGGCACCTCTTCCTTTTTGAAATGTCCTTGGTCTTCAGTAAAGAAGTGAAAGATTCCAGCGGGAGAAGCAAGTACCTTTATAAAAGCAAATTGTTTGTAAGTATCGGCAGTCAGAGTTTTAAGGTGGAAGGTAACACAATTGCAACTTTTTTCTAGGTAGAAAAATATTACTGTTTGTTGCCTTCAGTTTATCCTAAAATGTGAAAAGTCCAAAATTGTCATGTTTTCATCGTCAGTGAAATTCTTTGACAGCTTTGAGTCCAGTAGAGGGCGCTCCTGAGTTTGAGCTTTCCGACACTTAAAACCCTTGTTTTTTTCTATATTCCATGGAATCTAACTACAGGGTAAGAAAATACTTCGTAAGTGAATTTCAATCATTTATCTCCCGGGTACCTTAGCTAGCTTTATAAATACATAAAATAATCATATCAGACTATGAGTTAAGTTCTTGTATCATTATAATTAATTTTTCATTCACCAACATTGGAATAGACTTATGCAGCCTTACTGGGTGTCTCACTGTGGCATCTTAACGACAAAATTGGATATTTTTTTCATTAAAAATAAATTTATAATAAATAAATGAATAAATAAATATGTGGGGTTTACAATAGCAAAATATGATTACTGGAGAAAAATATATGTAAGCAAAAATAGTTTTAAAGATCCACAGTCCCACCTATTTAGAGACAGTTGCCCTTGAGTGCTTGGTAGATACAGTGATCATTTGATTTCTAACTTGTCGTAGTATTTCCTGGCCAGAGAAACATACCTGTTACCTTTTTTTCATTAGTAGCAAACCAAACCAGTCTGTCTAAAAGTCACATTGACTCTCAGAAAAGTCTCAGGCAGATGTCGTCCCCTGCGTTCTATATTTCCTTCTTCCCTTCGTGAGCAGTATCTCAGAAGACTGTCATCAGAAAATTTCTCGGCAGGGTCAGGCAGTGGGAGGATTGGAAAAACTAAGGAAAAACCACCATCGGGGAAAGAATGGAAAATGCAGTAGAATTTGGTTTCTTTATACAAGGCATGGCAGATTGCTTATAAATATTGGTAGATATTTGGAACTTGGATAAGTTATATTTTATACATTATATGTTTTTATAGTATCCTTATGTTAATCAAATTCCCAAAGTAATAAAATACTACCAAGTATAGAAGTCATCTTAATAATAATCTGGAATTTGCACATTCAAGCTAATGGTTTTCATACCCCTTTCTTTGGCTGACATCCTGTTTGAGATTGTCTTTTGGATCACAGCCACCTTACATCATTTTAGATCATGTTCTAACTGGAGAGAAAAAATGCAGCGGTGCTGGCTAGTAATTTCACTAGCTGGCTTTAATCTATCCTCAGAGACCAAGCTAGTCTGTTTAGAAGCTGATACATCTTCACTTAATTTATCTTTTGAAAGTTGAGGTTCCCTCCGAGGCCACCTCTGGAGCTATGGGTTATGAATCACTTCCTTTGCTGGAGGGGGAAGAAGGCATTAGAATTGAACATGATTGCGGTGGAGGTGGGGGCTGAAGATGTTGGCCTTCATCTACATCTTCCATGCTCTGAGTATTACAACTGCATATATGGCAATTTTGTCTCTTTTACCCCTTAAGATTATTGGTGAAATACTAAAAGTTAATGCTATTGATAAACAGATTGGAAAATAACTGAGCCGTTAAAACACCATTTGCCCTCTGTGAGGCTACTTCATTAATGCTGAACATGGAAGGTGGCAGCTCTTCTACAACTAGAACAAACTCATTTTGTTATTTATAAGGTTGAAATTGGTCAACTCTTGATTTTCCAGATAATAGGATTTTCAGATATTTTGCTTTCTTTCCTCTGAATTTGCTTATTGACTTGCGTCAGAATCTCTAGTAGAAGTGCTCAGAGGAAATAAAAAAGATGAAACTGGTAGTTTGTAGCCTAAAAACAAGATGTGCTCGTGTTAACTCAAGTGAGGGGCTAAGGATTACCTATTGATGCTAACAAACTGCGTTGTGTATGACCTAGCATGACTATAAGTCACAAATTTTATTCTCATCTGATTATATAATTGTCTTTTTATCCAGACCTCAGAGTTGGGTGTCACAGAACATGTTGAAGGAGATCCTTGCAAATTTGCACTGTGGGTGGGGAGGACGCCAACTTCAGATAATAAAATTGTCCTTAAGGTACGTTCACTCAAAGTTTGGGGATGTGCTGTGTGAGAAGTTTATCATAGCAGTGAATGCTTTTTCCTGCCCTGTGGTTGAAACATAACTGGTTTTCATATCATTTTATGTGTTTCTTTTATGTTCTGTTGGGATTAGTGATTACCACAAGAAGAACAGTAGAATAAATTCAGTTTGGTATTTCAGGGATGAAATAACGTGAGCCAAACCTTTGCTTGCCTACTGAAGATCAAATGGAGCAAGCCTTCAAACGTCTCCTGTACTTCCAGTCTTAAAAAGATTCGTTCATTCCCAGGGATGCAGGAAGTTAAGTCTACGAGGAAAGAGATAGGGACCCACAGCTTCCATCGCACACTTGACCTTTGGTTTCCAAAGGAAAATGGGCACCTGATGGAGGTGTGATGGCCTTTGACAATTCCAAGGCTGAAATGCCAAGAGTCTCCATGGGGTCCTGGGCTCCTTGCCTTTCTAGTTTGGGGGCAGAGGAAAAGGGGGGATAATGACCAGGTGCAGGGTTTTTGATAATGTTCTGATTTAAAGTGTTCCAGACCACGAAGGGTGCTTTGAGGTACAGTCTTTGGGGGAGGAAAATATCTCTGAACGTTTTATTCAAACTCTGTTTTGATTATACTACCCTCTCCTAGGAATGGAGAGGGCTCTAAGAGTGTCTTAATGTACTTCCCTCCTCCTGTGTTTGAGAAAATACAGATGGAACTATCTTTTTGAGCTGTCTGGAAAGACCATACTCAACTTAAGGATATTCTGGGGGAAATGTAGACAAAGATTTGTAGAATATTGGGAGATGAGCCAAAAGCTTAATGGGACTCTGATGTGTGAACTTGCATGTCAGCGATTTTGTCTCTTACATTCCTTTGAATCTCTCTATGGTATTTCCAGCAACCACAAGTTATTCAGCAGTGTGTCACTGTTGTAGAGCCACTGACTGTTATACCATTGTGTTTTAAGGTGTTTACTCACATAGAAATGATGAGTTCTTTTGCAATGAATATGTGATTACCAACGCAGTGTATTCTTGTTAGTACTGGCATAAAGCCCTGTAAAATATAAATTGCACTTTTGGCCAAATATTAGATAACTGAACTTTTCTAAGGCATAAAATTTTAAAGTACTCTCAAGATCATAAAACTTCCAACTTATATTAAATGCTTATCCAGATTAGCTGCAGTGACAGATGCCAAAGGGTGTATCTAAGAAATAGTGCCAGATATTTTAGCCAGTTATGGGTTACTTTCATTTGGGATGTAATAAATACTCATGATGCAACTGAAGAGTACGGTTTCCTGTGGGCTTTACCAGATGAAAGTTTTCTAGGGAATTTTGAGTAATGTTTTTCTGACTCCCAAGGAGAGACTAAATGAAAGGATGTCTTCATTAATTTCAGAGATTGCTTTGTGGTGATGGTATGGGTGGTGATTACAGTGGAAATGGAGGTGGTAGAGGTGGAGATTTTGGTAGTGGTGGTGGTGGAGATGGTGGTGGAGATGGTAGTGATGGCGGTGGAGGTGGTAGCAGTAGTGGCTGTGGTAGAGATGGTGGTAGAGCAGATTGTGATGGTTAGAAAATGGTGTGGTTTTGGTGGTGGTGGCAGTGGAATGGTGGTGGTGATGGAGGTGGTCATGGTCATGGCAATGATGGCGATGGCCTAGTAATAAAACAAAACTGTGGCCTTTTTTTTTTTTTACTTGTATAATCTGCAAGGGAGAATTTTATTTCTAAATCCTTCCTTAAACAGATTGAGGCTACTAGGAGAATCACACTCCATAAATGTAATGATCAACTTGCTTTTTATCACAAGACTGCTATGGTTTTCTGAACTGTAGTAACAGTTTTCCTTAGTTGTCCCCAGACTCTGCCAGATGTTCTTCCTCAGCTACTTCTCCCTGTTTAACCTCCCAAACATTTGTATCAGGCATTTAAATTCCAGGAGATCTGTGTATTCAGAGTTTTCTACCCTGAGATGCTTATTTCATGCACAAACTCCCCTGTTCCCTAATCACGCTGCCTCCTACCCCAGGAGAAGTCAGTGTGACGACTTCTGGCATCAGGTTCCGGAATGGGAGCAAGAGACTCCTTTACCCTTTACTTACCCTTTACTGTCCCCCAATAACTTTAAAGCCACATTCTCCAGTTAAAGCATTTTATTTAGAGAGTTCTCAATTTTAATTTCCTTTCCCACCATGGGCTTTGGCTTTCTAGTTTCAAAAACAAGGCCCACCAGGAGGAAATGGTGGGTTCCCCTCCCTTTGTGATCTCATCTACAATCCCACTGATGATTGTTTTAATCATTTACAGGGAATTATGTTTATATCATAGGAGGTTGATGTTTTCTGTAAGGAAATTAAAAACTGTTACTAAGGCTCAGGACATTTAAAAAGAAAAAACAAACTACCTCCTTTGAGGCACAGTGAGAGAGAAAAATCTGGACAAAGCAATACCATGTGTGTTAATTCAACAAATGCTTGATGCCCGGCCGGCGTGGCTCAGTATTTAAGCATCAACCTATGATCCAGGAGATCGCAGTTCAGTTCCGGTCAGGGCACATGCCCGGGTTGCGGGCTCGATCCCCAGTAGGGGGGTGCAGAAGGCAGCTGATCAATGACTCTCTCATCATTGATGTTTCTATCTCTCTCTCCCTCTCTCTCCCTGAAATCAGTAGACATATGTATTTTTTAAAATGCCTGTTGAGAGTCTCCCACGTCCCATGTCCAGAGAACCTTTCTCCACAGTTGTAATGGAGCTGAGGCAAATCCACCGTGTGGAATTGGCAGTAGGATACACTCGTTTATTCTAGTGGTTGATTCTGATTTTCAACCACAGGTAGATAAATGCAGAGCTCGGGGAGCAGGCTCTGCCATGGGCTCTGGGAGCTGCAGTTGCTTCACCTGCTGGTGGTGTGACCCAGGACATTGCTGTGTCCACACCACAGTCCCTCATTTTCACACGAGGATAAGGGAACCCCATTCCAGACGGTGCTTTCGGGAGCGAGGAGAGGCTGCAGGTGTGGAAATGTGGCTGCGGCTGTTGTCTGTGTGGGTTCCGTTGACGCTCCGCCAGCCCCTGACCACTCCTCTTGGCTTAAGTAGCCTCAGAGAAGCTTTGGTTTGGGGTGGCTGTGTTTTCTTATTTTCCTAGGACTGCTTTAAAGTTCTCGGGGCCAGGGAATGATTGATGATGAGAATACCCATTGATTTAGAATAACGTAAATGCTATCAAATCAAAAGGTTTTGATGAAAAAAATACTCAAAACTAGGGTCATTTATTTGGTGGCACATTAAACATAGGTTGCAGTTGCTTTCCTGCTGGAAAATTTGTTTTTAAATGGGAAGCCAGGAATGTGGGAGACCTGTGTGTTGTTAGGGCAGGATCCGGAAAGGGCCCCTCTGTACACTGATGGATTCTCACACCTCGTTCAGGCTTCCAGCATAGAAAACAAGCAGGACTGGATAAAGCACATCCGGGAGGTGATCCAGGAGAGGACTATCCACCTGAAAGGCGCCCTGAAGGAGCCCATTCACATCCCCAAGACAGCCCCGGCCACGAGGCAGAAGGGCAGGAGGTGAGTGTGTAGGGGATGTTTTGGTAAGTTTGTTTGTTTAATAGGGAAGGAACAAGGCATGTTAACACAACATTTTTCAAAAATCGTTTTTCTCAAACATTTTGAGGAATATTGTTTTTTTTAAACACAGTTTATATATCACGTTCTTAGCAATGAAATTGCTTTGTCAAGACAAGACCCTGTTTCACCTTAAATTAAGTGAAGGGCTGTGTTCGAATCTCTGGTCATTTTCCCTTTCTCACCCCAGGGTGAGTCCAGCATGTGTGTAAATCGTGCATGTGGCCGTGGACACATTACAGTATCTACACATTTGTTCCTTGTTTCTCAACTGGAAATATTGTATCACCTGTATTTTATTATTATGTGAATTAAGTGGAATGACCTATGTTAGATACTTAGCCCAGTGCCTGGCAGGAAGCCTGTGCCTAGTAAAGGGTGACCAGTCTTTGTTAATACGGCAGCAGTAGTAGCAATTGCACCTCTTTAAACAAATCTATTCCTTCTCCAATGACCAATGGACAGTCTTCACCAGTCTTGGAAAACAAATCCAGCAGAGTCAGCAATTCAGAGTTTCTTGTATCTCCAGGGACGGAGAAGATCTGGACAGCCAAGGCGATGGCAGCAGCCAGCCTGATACAATTTCAATCGCCTCCCGGACGTCTCAGAACACCCTGGACAGTGATAAGGTGAGCTGCAGCCAACCTTTCACTGGGGGCTCGAATGTGGCTAGTCTTTGGTCTCATAGGAAGTAACCTCTTTCTGTCTCTAAGTGACAGCTGTCATCAACATTTTCAGACAGCTGCTATGTGCTAAGAGCAGTGCCAGAACCCGGTACCAGGGACAAAGACTTTGGGCTGTCAGGATAGGAAGACGTTTACCCTGAGAACTCAACTTAATCACTTGCCCTGCCCAGTGCTATTACCTGGTTTTCTATCAGGGTGTCTCAGGCAGTGTATTAAAGCTTTTTAAAATTTATATTAAGCAGAAAAACCTATTATTTTAAAATAATGTTACACAGAGCCCTAGTGCATAGAAATGGAGCTGTTCTGGTTGAAGCAGAACACCAGCCTTCTCCACCTTGGCCTGAGGCCCCTTCCAGAACACAGGAAGTGCGCCCTGGACTGGGCCTGCACCTGTGCTGACTGCTAGCAAGACAGGTCTGATTCGTGTCAGAGTCCACAGAGGCAGCATGCAGGATCCCATGATTCTGTCTTGATGGAATCAAAAAGCCTCCAGAGTAAATTAGCAGGAGGAGCTGGGAATCCTGGGCTCACACGATGCACAGATGTCCTCTGTGAACGCCGGTGGGGGACATTCATCTCAAGCAAGGCTTCTGTTCCAACTAAGATGAGCGCCTGTTCTGTTGTTTTTCTAGAATGCAAGACCAGATTCTAAAACCAAAAGTTATTTGACAGTGAATAGGGGCTCAGAAGTCCTGGGTTTCTCACTGCGTAGTTCGAGCTATGCTTTCTTGTGTGAGACCTTAATCCTGGTCATGAGAGGCAGGAGCTCTCTGCAAAGTATGTCCAGAGCCCACTCACCCATAGGGAGGACATGCCTTGACCTCACCTTCATTGGAAGTGATTGATCACAGAGAGGAGAGTCCCATATCGGGGTTATTTCACATGGCAGTTCTTACAGTCCCAGACTTTGGTCTTTTCTCACTAAGTTTTTCAGAAGAATTCATGGTATTTAAATGTAATTTCCAAAACACAAATAAGTGCGTTTTAAAATACAGCTCTTCTACAGTGATTTTATTTTCAGAGTCCTTCCAGTTTGAGTAATTAGTTTCTTATTTGAGTTCACTTAATAATAAGTCCCAGGGCTTCAAATGCTTAGAATACAAGGACTGAAAAATAAAAGGAGTGCCTCATTTTATTCGGTTCAGAGCTCAGAGTATTAGCATCGGCAGATATTCCTGCCAGCGGTCATAATGAGGAGTAAGACAGATTACATGTTCAGGCTTTTAGTGCCTAATAGCTTCCCTCCCTGCGGCCTCACCCCAGAGCCGCTGAGTTAAGAAAATAGAGTTTGAACTTGGAAACATTTCATTAGAGTAATTCTGAATGTTTTCTTTTTTTAAAAAAAGTAATTGAGGTGATTGAGTAATTTAAATACTCAGTTTACCTAAGAATTATTGTAGTAATTTTTAATAATCATGGGAACTAATAGAAGCTCAGGTTGAGGGGAAAGGCTGTCTTCATTCAGACCGTTTCACGGACTTGCCTTGGTGGAGATTCACCCCTCCAGCTGCAGGCCCATCAAGCCCCAGATTCGCGTTCTTACCAGGCATATTCTCATAGATCTGGTCTGGGTTTACCTAGAAATGAGTTTAGAATATATTTCTTTTTAAAGTTATTTGGATGACACTGCCAAAGAGATAAATAAATGTAAAAAATTCTGCCTTTTGGAAGGTGTGTTAATACTTTTCTGGAGATTAGTCCAAGAAGAAAGGCTGACTTTGTCTCTTCATGCTGTTTATATATAAATGGGTGGTGGTGGAAGGCTGGAAAAGACTCCCAGATGAAGTAAGGGGCTCCCGAGGTGCTTTCTCGTACATAGAGAACTCGGGTGCTAGCATCCCCGTGCAGCCCTGGTCCCCTGAGGCATGGGTGACTGGAGGCCACAGGAAGTTTGCACAGAAATAAGACTCTATCCTGGAGTTAGGAATTGCGTAGCTAGTTCTGCTTCGGATCTGCTGTGGGTGAATAGACTTATGTGAACCTGGAACCGAGCCTGCACAACTCCTATAGAAACATCAGGCATTATCCTAAGGGCCGTTGCCATTAACAGTAAATTCTGTGTGTATCCAATGAACAAGGGGGGAAAAAATCACTAAGAAAAGTGTAGGTTTGCAGAAATTAATCATTCTGCCTGGACTAGAATTTTAAAGAACTGCCTATTAAATATTTTATCTGTGGAGGTAATTCACCAGTTTCTGTTTATCTCATCCAGTGCACTATCTTGGGCTTCATTCTGTAGCTCAGTAATCCCTACAGGGCTGCTTCTGTGAAGGCAGCTCTGGCCTCACCTGAGCTTCGCAGAGGCGCCTGCTGACGCTCTTGAGTGAAGCTGTGACCGCAGCCTGTCACTCAGCGGCACCTAGCTTAACGTCCTCGTGATTCTCACCAGTCCTGAAGTAATGACACTCCAAAACTCAGGTTTTTTTAAGTGGGCATGGCATGTATGTCCTTTACTACCCCTCACTGAGACCATAGGTCCTTAATCAGCTCAAAGGTGTGAAGAAGGCATGCAGTGTCTTCCTGAGATACAGAATTGCAGCGGCCCTCCTCAGCTCTCGGGACCTGCACTTGGCTGAGAATAAACAGCCTGTGCGGCCTAATGAAGATAAGCGAGGCTTTGGAGTTGGGACAGGACACACCCACGAGGCCCTCTACAGAGAAGAGCTTGTTCACTGCCCCACACGCCCACATTCGTGTCATCTGCTGGGGAGATTTCTCGTCACCGCCCCCCTTTTTTACTTCCCTGGTAGAGCATTTCGGGGTCAGTAGATGATTCAGGAGAATACATTTTGAACATTAGGAAACTGCATTCTTTCCTGAGTCAGTTTTTTAAAATGCACAGTTTCTCTGAACGAGGCTTAACCAGAAAATCCCCTCCTCTCCCTCCATGGCAGTAACTTTTCATATGTCTCAAGGTCCTTTCTGCTGTACTTTTTTCAAGTTTGAACAGCCTCCGATGACCTGGGTAGATAGATCCGACGAGGGAAATTACTTAACTGAATTTTGCCTCTTGGACTTAATTTATCATGTCTGTTGTGAGTTAGTTATCATGGAATTTGGTTCCATTTCAGAAACTGGGTGGGGGGATGTTTTTGACTCAGCCCCTTGGAGATTCCTAAGGAAGGGTTATCTGCCCAGGGCTGTGTAATCCTCCGATGAGGCGCAGAAGATTTGGGGAGGCGTCTGTTAAGAGGGGGGCCCAGAGACACCCTTTTTCCAGGGAGCACTGTCAGAATCGCTGAGTAGGCTGCTCACAGATACAAACCACATGCCCCCGTGAGCACATTCCCTTCTAAGAACACCAGCTTTAGAAGATGCCATCTCTTTGTCCCACAAGTGAGTTTAGCACTGATTCTTGCCCATGTTCATAGCACTTATGCTAATAAAAAGCTTATGAAAATATAATTTGGGCTCCAAAGAAATCAAATGCTTGCCAGACCCTTATCTCATTCTTCTTGAGCTTGTCCCCAGAGGTAGGGAGGAGAGTGTGGAGCCAGTCTTCTGGCTGAGAGGAAGTGACAGGGGCTAGATGAGCCTCGCAGGGCCACCCAGCGCTAGAGGGCTAACGCCAGAAACGGAATGTGGATGTAATTACCCGTCGGTATCTAAAGCTGGATATGAAGCTAAGTATTTTTCAGTATAATAAAGAAGCATTTTTAAACTTTTTCCTTTCTCTGCCTTATTAGCCTGTGATTTATTTCTTATAATGAAAATTTATAGTATGAGGAAAATAGAATACATGGAATCAAACATAGACTACTATAGAACAGAGCATCTTGAGGTACAGATGAAAAACATCACCAAGGCAAGGTGAAGTGTCTGGAAAAGCCGTGGAAAAGCTGGCATGAGTCAACGGGCTAGGCGTGAGCTCTCTGCTGGGTCTAAGGCAATGCAGTTCTCATTTTTAAGGAATGAGAAATTCAGTGGAGACTGACACTTGGCATGTACTGTCCTGAGCCTATTACAATATAAATATATGAGTCCACATAATTAAAAGTATAAATGGTTTGAGTTACTCTTTTTTTAAAAAAATATATCTTTATTGATTTCAGAGAGAGGAAAGGAGAGGAATAGAGAGAGAGAAACATCAGTGATGAGAGAGTCATTGATCGGCTGCCTCCTGCACGCTCCCGGCAGGGGATCGGGCCCGCAACCCGGGCATGAGCGCTGACCGGGAATCGAACCCTGATCGCCTGGATCCTAGGTCAACGCTCAACCACTGAGCCACGCCCGGCAGGGCATTGAGTTACTCTTAATAAAGCTATGGCACCCTGCTGGGGACTTGAGATTTCATGTAATGTAAAAAATCAATCAACTTTCTCTGTGAAGTGACCTACACCACAGGAACTGGTTGGATTTACAGAAATTGCAATGTTGAGATAGTGTATAAAGCAGTTAATGCCAATCCGTTTTAAAATTTGGCTGATTCACATTTTTGACAAAAGAAACTTGCCACCGGCCTCCTTAGGGAACACCACCCCGTCACTCAGCCTCCATCACTGCGTACATGGCGCAGACAGGAGCGAAGGTGAGCCCTGGCTCTTTGCTTAGCCCTCTCTCCTCTTGCCAAAGGTGCAGGAAGCAACAGGACACCTTTGCTCAGAGGAGGTGCTCAACCTGCTGCCGGCCCTGCCAGCGCTCCCCAGGTATCCCAGGACCTCATGTAGGGTTGCCCCATGTAAGCATGAAATTGAGTCATTTAATTCAGAACCTTTCTACAGGATGACACGTAGTTTTAATCTTAGACATAATACTCTGGACGTCGTTAACCTTCTCTTCTCGGAGTGTAACGGGGTACGAGCAAGCAGGCCCTTGATAACGTCGTTTCCGTCAACAACATTCTTCAGTTATAATGGTCATGAGATATCATCCTAACTCTTGTCACAATTAGCCTATGGTAAAATTGTTTTCATTACACCTCGTTTCACTTAAAGTCACAAGAC